AAAAATATATATATACACATATATATTTAGTGCATTGGTAGATTTAAAGAAGAAAAAAAAATCGAGATCGTCGATCGAATGGAAACAAGAACGTAACTATTCGATCGGCGTTCAGAGATTGGTATGTGAAGATTGAACTCGATGACGATGACAACAACGACGACGATGTGACGGTACGGTGACGGCGACGGTGACGGTGACGATAACGATGACGGTTAGTAGGACACTTCGTAGACGTATACAAGTAACGAACGCGATCGTTTGAACGGACCTGCGCGATGCAATGTCGTGCAATACTGTTGGTCGCAACCTTATGCAATCGCGTGCAATAGCGCGCAATCTTTGAGGGTCTTGCACATACACACACACACACACACATATATATATATATATATGTATATGCATACGTACATACACACATACACATGTCGAGAGTAACGAAGATGGAAATTTAACTCGGTTCAGAGACCATGCAACTCGTTGATGCGTTTTCACTTGGCTGCGTAACTTCGTGCTGTTTCAATGGAATCTTTTTTTTTCACTCTCTTTCTCTCTCACATACACACACACACACACACACACAATAAACTAAGTTATCGGAGAAGAATTTTAATTTAAGATTTCATTATTCGACGTTTTATTTATCTTCCGTGCATTCGTGTATAACTAATTATATAAAATACAATATAACAAATAACAAGAAATATACAATAAGTTATACGTGTATATATATATATAATGGAAAGGTTAAAACAAAACAAAAAAAAAGAGGAGGAGGAAAAAAAAAATAGAAAAACGACCGGAGAAATATTAATTATAAATTCGTGTCTATGTTCCATGAAGTTTAACGAGCTATACTCTGTGATTATGGATAAGCCTGACCCGAATTCTCGTTCTTGCATAAATGAACGAAACGAAGCGGACGGAAGGTGACCGTTCCGACGCGCGAAGTCGACTTTGAAAATGATCCGAGAACTCGGTTTCTAAGCTCGACGAAGGATATATTTGAGAAATTAGGTCGGACCTTTTCGTATCGATTCGAGGAATAAACGATTACAATCTTTCGGACGCTTCAGGAGTGGTTAGGTAAATAGGAGGGAAGAAAAAAAATAAAATAAAAAAGAAAGTAATCGAAGTACGTGAAATCCGTGCGAAATAAACAAAGTTCCCTTTCGAAAACGATTTTCGATTCTGAAGTATTTTATTGAATACCCGTAGTGACAACCTGAATACACTTTGTTCTTGGAACTTGGACTCTCGGTCTGAACGTGAACGATGATGACATTTTGAAGAGAGAAAAAGGATGGATGGATGGATGGATGGATGGATGAAGAAATAAAAGAAAGAAAAAAAGGAAAGAAAAAAGAAGGAAGAAACGAGAGAGTTCTCTCGCTTGCAAGCAGAGGAATTCTATTTTTTATTCTTTCTCTCTCTCTCTCTCTTTTCTCCGGGCATACTTGTTGAACATCTAGCTTCCCTGAAAACTCTGTCGATTCGAGAGAAAGAACCGATACGCTTGCACGTCTCGAGATTACGTTTTTCTTACAGCAATGGACCTCTACGATTCCATCAACGATCGAAAAAGAGAAAATCTTCCTTCGAAGATTTTTCGATGCGATCAAATATCAAAGAAAAAAAAAAAAAAATAAGAGGAAAGAAAGAAAAAAATAAGACGAAGAGGAAGAACATTTATAAAACGTTACTAACTTACAACTCTTATCGTAACAGAGAATTCTTTCATATATTATTTATCATATCATATAAATTATTCGATTTATAGGGAATTAATTAGAATTGATCAGACTATGGTCAAATGTTACTATACTTTGTAATACAATAGTTCTTTTTTTTTCGCCCAGACGAGTCCACAAAAGTAGACTCTTCCGCTGCAATTTTTTTATTTTTATTTTTCTCTCTCTCTCTCTCTCTCTCTCTCTTTCTCCAGTCTTCTTTCGAAAATCGTTAGCCAGCTGTTCGACGTATCGGCGACCCTGACCTTTTACACTGAGACTCGACGCTTTCCAGGAAGGTCCATAACTCATATGTCCATTGGTTATTTTAACGATACTCGAGCCCACTCTTTTCCAGCTCGACGAGTTTTCGGTCCAAGATGTGTAATTTCCCATGCATATATCTTTTTCCTTTTTTTTTTCTTTTTCCTTTTTTTTTCTCTCTCTTTCTCTCTATCCCTTCTTTCCTCCATCTTTCATTAATAAAAAAATCAATCGTCCTAGAAACATCACTTAAACCATTCCATGACGAGAGAATGTTTCGTCATTGCTGGTAGAACGAAATAACGATTGAAATTCATAAGAATAGAGTTTCGCTCGTTTAACCTATTCATTTTATATTATTATAAATACGTATGTACGTATATACGTACGTATATAATAGATACGTAGGACGAAGAATGTAAAAATCGTGCAATTTGATTTTTTTTTTTTTTTTTTTTTTTTTTCTCTTGTATATTCAAAACTTGCAGCATAACATAAGGAATACACAGTATGTCACTAAACGAAAGGAATTTTGTTAAAATTCCAGAGGAAATCGTAAATTGTAGAGTAGAAATGAACTTTGGTCAAGCGTAGTAGATTGTACGAAGGTAATCTCCTTTTCTCAGACTGAAACGAGCTGGGAGAATGAGAACGAATATCTGACAGACGAGATGAGAGATCCGACGAGATTAAATCTGCCGTTAGTTTATTTTAATCTCACTTTTTATAACGCACAGGTCGACCAATTCGATAGCTAATCCTAAAAAAAATTTTAGATTTTGCTCCTTGTTCCTCGTGGATATACTGAGAACTGTCGCTTAAGAAAAAAGAAAAGAAAAGAAAAGAAAAGAAAAAAAAAAAGAAAAAGAAGAAGAAGAAAAGAACGCGAAGAATACGTCCGAAATACTTGTCTTAAAAGCAAAAACGATCGTATCTAGAGAAGATTAACTGGGAAAACACGGAACGTAATAATTTACAATTAATTCAAATCTCCTCGCAATGCATAAATCGATAAGAATACGACTGAAATTCGTCCGTTGTTCCATAATATTCCGAAATATTTGTGTAACAAATTGTCGAGCCATTCTCGAAATATCAAATTTGTCATAGCTATACATACAATACGATCGTACAAAAATGAAACATTTTTATTGAATTGGCATTTGATAGATTACCGTTATACGAAGGAAAGAAATCCACACACAGACACACACAGACAGAATCGTTTCAATGACTTTTAGAAATATATTTTTTTAACTTTCTCCAATTAGACTTTCAAAGACGAATAAATAAAAATGATCGAAATTATTTGAAGGTAAATATTTAAAAATAAAATGTTCTAAATGAACAAAGAAATAGATATAATTTACGACTTTTACTTATCAGGTATAAAAGTAAATTAAAATTTAGTTAGCTCTTCAAAGTTTTTACAATTGGGTTATTAAAGATAATAGTAAGTAGATACATATTTACGTTTATTTTCCGACAAGCTTAATTATTTTCATTTATCAAAATTATTCAAAAATTAAAAGTTTTTAAAATGTTTTTTATTATCCCTATACTTTTATAGTGTCATATAAATACAGAATATATTTGTAGTACATGGATATTATATATCCACGTAAGAATGGATTATCCATGGGAAAGAATTTTGGAAATTGTTTATGAATGAAAACGCTTAGTTGAGATATTATTACGAAGGGACACGTTTTCTCTATTATTTCTTCGTTCTTTGAAAATCTGCACAAGCGGATGCTTCTCGAAAGTTATAGTAGCGTTGACATTTGTGGAAAATGTATATTTTGTAAATGCACCGACCGACCACAGGTGTATTATACCTGGTATATTCGTACCGAAAACGTGACTAATCTTCAAACTATGCCGGGTTATACATTTCTACGTGAATATGTATATGCAGATACGTATATGTATCCAAGTACATACGTTCTCTCATTCTCTCGTTATACGAAGGAAAGCTTGTATATATATATATATATTTCCGCGGCTATAAATTTATCCCGGTTATAACATTGTTCCCGCGAATCCGCAGAATGACCGAATCAAGAAGGAGCCAGCGGTTGATCTATTAACCCTGACACTTTATCCCCTTTGGACGCGTTTTCGGTCAAACTTGGCATTAAACGAATACTGGTTTCGTTCGGTTCGTCTATATCCCGGGTAAACGACCTCTAAAAAAAAAAAGAAAAAAAAAAGAAACATTAATTAACGGCAATTGACCTAACACTTGGCACAAAACCCCAAAGTATCGTAGATATATGTAATTAAAATTTTCGCTTATTATCTAATCAAAAAAGATGTGTACGTATCCGTGTATACAGTTCTTTTTTCTTCAGCTCTTCTTTGAATTGCGAAATTATTAACTCTTCCTTCGTTCCTCTACGTCAGAAAAAAAAAGTATACCTTTCCCGTGTCATATTTCTTGAACATCCAGTATATTCATATATACATATATACGTGTTCACTTTGAATCTCATTGGAATCGTTGACTCATTCAAAATGTGACGCATCGAGTATCGTTTTACTTTAACGTGTTAAAAAATATCATAATTCACACGATCACGTAAAACAATATCGAATTTGAATAAAATTAATCCCTGCATAATAAGAACATCTCATATGATAAAATCGAAAGAAAAAGATATATAGATAGATGGATAAGTAAATATGGAGATTTTACATGGGATGAAGTTAAGGAAGGTGGAAGGTAGGTGGTAGATAGGTAGGTAAGTAGGTAGGTAGGTAGATAATAGAGAGAAGGGAGAAGGAGTTAAAACATTATACACTTGTTCGTACTCGAGCATTGTTTGTATCGGTCGGTAGGGTCAGCCGTGACGTCACGAGGAACAACGTAGCAACTCGGATTCCGATTGGTGGCCGTAGTCTCCGAGCGGCTCGCGCGTCACGGTCGTTGAGTGTGACTCCCGACAGAGTGAGCGGCAGTGCTCGGATAGCAGTGGGGGAAGATGTACGGCGCGAGATCTACGTACGCTGCTTCTTTTTAACAGAGAGACTTAGCTAGTACGTACGTGTACGTTGACTGTGAGAGAGTGTTCAGAAGTATAATAGTGCCGTGTAAAGAGAGAAAGAGGGTGTTGGAGCTGTCTCGACGCCGTTCTATTTTCGTCGGCGCGCCACTGCTGGCCCAGATTCAACGCGACCGTCACGAGAGAAAGAAAGAGAGAGCGAGAGAGAGAGAGAGAGAGAAAGAGAGAAAGAGAAAGAACGAGCAAACAAGTTATCTTCTTCTCTCTTTACGGAAAAAGAGTGAAAGAGTCGAGCGAAACAATCGAATATATATATATATCTTTCTCTCTCATAGCGAAAAAGAAAATCGCGCATACCGAAACTCCCCGATCGACCAATCACCGGTGACCGCAGCCGTTCTCAGTGCCTCATAATCTTTCGTCCAGTACGGATCGTTCTCATTCTCTCGTGAGTCTTCCTTCCGTGCGTTTAGTTGTATATATATATATATATATATATATATATATATATCTTTTTTTTTTTTTTCATTTCCTTGCTTTTCTTTGATCGTGTTCTAACATCGTCGATTGCCATCGATATATTAAATCATCGTTTACATAGTTCTTCGGTGAATTTTGTGTTCTACAAACCTCGCGTTATCGTCAACGAAACGAGGACCAAACGTGAAATAGGCAGCCTAGTCCTGGAAGATATTTGGATGAGAGCGTCTCGAACGCTCCTAGAATGTGACTACGAAGTGATGCTGTAAGTGAATCTTCTTCAGAAATTGGCTATTTTAATTTTCTTTTCTCTTTTTTTTTTTTTTTAATTATTCTTTTTCTTATTATTCATTTCTTTTCTCTCTCTCTCTCTCTCTCTCTTTTCTTTTTTTTTCGTCTCTTCTGTTTTCCTTTTTTCGTTGAAAATAGTGCGATGATAAAATTAAGAGAAGAAAAAGAGAGAGAGAGAGAGAGAGAGAGAGAGACAGGAAAAGGAAGCTATAATTTTGAAGAAAAGATAAGGAGTATTATTCGCGCGCACACGTGCGTGTTAAACCCGGACTTCCGATATTTTCTATGTGTTTGGAGTGAGTGCATAAGGATTTGAGTGTATTATGTATGTGTTTTAGTTTCTTTCCATACAGTTATTATCATTGAACGATATCGACAAAGTATGTATCTTTCTTAAACCTGCGTAATCTTCGTTTAGAAGAAAAAATATGGGGTATATGATTGTAGAAAGTAAGAAAAAGAAAAAAAAAGAGTGGGAGAGGGAGAGAAAGTGAGAGACCTTAACTCTTCTCGATTTCGAACAAATGTCACTTTGAGGTTAACCGTTGTTTCTTTCGCTTTTGTAAATTTTGAGTTTTCGTTTTGTACAAAAAAAAAAAAAAAAAAAAAAAAAGAAAAAAAAAGAAAAAAAAATTCTCGACAATTATTGTAATAATAGATCCAATGTCCTCGATTAAAAAATAAAATTTGTTTATAACATCGTCATTGAGTTATAAGTCGAAGGTTTTAATTAATCAATTAACCTTGTTGCGTTAAATATACTTTAAAATTATAAATAGAGCAAAAACTTTGGGAGGCGGAGGTACGGGTCAATGATTTCGTTTTATAAAGAAGTATCCCTCTGTGTTAGCTCGTATACTCGTAAGCCATGACATTTGAACCCTTCTTCTTTCGGGTATGGGCGCCACTCTGGCAGAAGTCTGAAGTTGGTCGGTAACGATTCTCGTCGCGCGGCTAAATTCAATTTAATTTATTATTTTTTTTTTTCCTCTTTTTTTTTACGAAAAGTGTGTCCATTACTTTCTAACAGTTGTCGACTTTTGAGACGGGAAGTTTTTTTTTTTTTTTTTTTTTTTTTTCTTATTCGAAGTATTTTTCCTCTTTAAAATTTCGTACAAATACATGTGAAACATTATGTCGAGTTTATAAGCGGGATCGTTTTTATTTTTGGTTATTTAAAGAAGAAATAAAGTTAAGAATTAAAGAGGAATTAAAAAAAAAAAATTAAAAAAAAAATACTAGTAAAGAGAGTATGGAGATAGAACGATACGTTGCCATTCGTGGCGCCAGACCTAGTCACGTGGCGCGTTTGCGTTTCGATTCTCTGTCTCTCTCTCTCTCTCTCTCTCTCGATATCCGTATTTCATACCGCGAGTCCATCGCGCAAGATCATACGAAGATCGAGAGCGCACCTTCCTTCTTTGACATTGGTGAACGCTTTGGCACGCGGATATCATCTTTATCCTTCACTCTTTGTTCTTACAACTGTGGCTGAAATATTTTTGAACGAGTATGTAAAGATCTGATTTTTTATCTCTTTTCGAACGTGCAACGCATTTTCATTTTTTTCGATCTTTTTCTTTTCTTTCTCTCTCTCTCTCTCTCTCTCTCTCTCTCTCTCTCTCTCTCTCTCTCTCTCTCTCTCTCTCTCTCGTAATTTTTTTTGCTCTCCTTAACTCGTTTTGTCCAATTCCAATATGAAACTAGATGCGAGATAGTCTTAATCGTCGATGTTAAAATGTTTCGTCGAAAGAAAAAACTTAGTACATTCTCTTACATACATTTTGATTCTTCATTACATTTGATTTCCAATCTTATGTAATTTAACGAGTACTTTATACGGAAATAGTTAGTTGTAATACGTCGTGGTGCACTCGCGTGAGTGACATTTCGATAAAAGAACGTCGTAGTTGACGTTCCTTGAATAGCAAATAGAATTTTTCCGGTGTTCTTTAAAAAAAATAATTGCTAAGAACTTAGTTTATTATATTGTTTTTCCCGTAATTTATCGGCAAACGTTATTTTAATATATTTTTCTTTTACTGTTTATTTCTGGTTTTTTTTTTTTTTTTTATTTTTTTTATTTTTATTTATTTATTTTTTTCACTTTTTTTTTTTTTTTAATATTTTGATTTCTTTTAATTTTTTCAATATGCAAAGGACCGATGTTTTTAATGAATTAAATGATACGATCAACACAATGGTAAAATATATAGGAGGATGATGTTTGTTGGTAACATCTACTCGGTCAACATACATACATAAATGTTTATCCGATTCTGTTTTCATAACATCAAACGGATTAACCAGTGTGGTCGTTCCTATCGAATTACACACTCTGACGACAAACGAGTATTTCTCCAACGTGAACATTATAATTCGTTATCGAAATTAAAATTAGCTTTAATTTACATTAAAATTTTATTCTCTTTTTATGATTTGTTTATTTATTTATTTATTTATTTATTTATTTAGTTTCTTCTTCTTCTTTTCTTTTCTCAAAGTAATTTTTTTTTCTCTTGAAAAATACTTAATACTCATCGAGGAAATAGATTATACGGATTGCATGTGTTAAGGAAGGGAAAAAAAAAAAAAAAGAAAAATTTAGAATAACATAACTTGTCTACTATTTACAAAAGGTATATTTTTTCTTTTTCTTTATTTTTTTTTCTTTTTCTTTTTCTTTTCCTTTTTTTTTTCTTTTTTTTAAGCTTTCCGCAATGAAATAAGAAGGAACAAATTTAGTACCGTGGAAAAGCTTTAAGTATCCGACTGGCATACTCGGGCTAATAACAGTGAATAAAGTAGGAACACGCTAGCTGCTCGTTAAGAAGCTTATGTAATATTATTCAGACTATTATCGCGTTATGTGAAGAACTTGGAAGGATTTCATTAGGGCGCACGGACTGATTATGAGGACTAATAATGATGACGACAGATTCGTGAAAAATCAAAAAAGTCAGAAAAATTTATAATCGTCGAATTCTTTCGATCGTTGAATGCGTTTTCAAGCGTAATACGAGAATGAATTTTAATGAAAAGAAAGGAGGGTGGGTGGATGGGACGGTGGAAAGAAAGAAAGAAAGAAGAAAAAAGAAGTAGCTCATGAAAATAATCGCATAATATTGTGTTTCTCTAAGAACGTACACGACTTTCGACGGTACATCTTTTTCATGCGCCTTGCACGTTCGTTCTCCTCTTTTATGGGCCGTCAACTTTCCCGCGTCACCGCAGTGAACTAAATTCCACGTGATAACTTTATTCGAACGGCGGTATGATCTTAACATAGCCAGTTTGTCTGCAACGATTCAACGGCGTTGCAAGTTTGTAACATCTATACCATTAAACCACAGATTCGTCAAATATAACAAATATATAAATGAGTTGTTACATCTTTTCATTAATTATCTACAATCGATCAGTCGCATGATTTTCTATCGACGTAGTAAGAAACAAAGTCACCTGCTCCGCGATGCTTTCTTTATTTTTAATACCTAGTCTCTTGAACGCGTGACTAGTAGGAATATCGAGAGGAGAAGAAGAAGAAGAAGAAGAAGAAGAAGAAGAAGAAGAAGAGGAAGAAATAGTTTTATTTATATTTTTGGATCATGATCCACGCGATAAAAAAAGGATAGATAAATAAATAGATAGGTAGGTGTGTTAGGTAGTTAGATAAATAAATACATATTTGATCAACATAATATTCGTTTTTGTCAATTAACTGATGACTTTTTAATAATTATCATAATTCAATGTTAAACGAAAATTGTATACTAATCAAACCAGATTAATTCTCATAAATTTGAAAACTTAAGGAAAGAAAAAGTTCTTCTCGAATCATCATATTTGATCCTTACTTCGAGTCGACTTATATCAGAAGAGAAATCCACTCGCGATACCAAGGTCTCGTTCATTAGACACCCAAGTCGAACACCTTGAGCATGCACCTGCGAGTGCTATATGAAAGCGAGTAAAGTGAGAGGAGAGGAAAGAGGAGAAGGGGAGTGAGAGACATTATAAGAACGTATCTCGAGAAACGATCGACCTTGTCGGGAGTACGCTCAAAAGAACAACAATACCCTCGTGAAGCTTCTTAACGGAAGGACCGATCATGATATATTAAATGATCCTTTAAAATTCTCGTCGATCTAAATTCTAAATTTTATCATTTGTTACAAAATTCTTCGTTGTATCTTTATTTTGATTTGCCGAACAATTTTATTCTATTTATTTGTGCGCCCATAAATGTTTTGAAATCAATTCTCCTGCAAGTACATCGCATCATTGAAAATGATTTTAAATAAATAAATAGACGTTGAAAATATAATAGAATTTAATTTTTCTCGATTTTGATCGACGATGAAATATTTTATTATATCGTAATTGGATAGAAACGTTAATGATGAACGAGCATTTAAATTTCTCCATAAATCATTTAAATTCTGAATTCTCTCTCTTTCTCTCTCTCTCTCTCTCTCTCTCTCTCTCTCTCTCTCTCTCTCTCTCTCTCTCTCTCTCTCTCTCTTTCTCTCTCTCTGTAGTTTTGTCGAACATGTTACGTTTGCACGTAACTCGAGCTACGAGAGTATGTAACTAGTCCTTGAGTTACGTGTTGAAGTTCGAGTTACGTGTTTATACGATGTAAATTATGATGTACGCTTCCTTTTACTTTAACGTATATCGTATTGATAATAATGAAAATATGATATTAATTGTAAATTATATCTATTTAAAAAAAAAAAAAAAAAAAGAAAAGAAAGAAAAAAAAAGAAAAAAAAAAGAGAAGCCATTTTCGATTTCGAATGTAATAACGCGTTGACGTATCGTTGTCGTAAACTTATCGGTTACCACGGGTACTGCAGAGATTAATTCGACGACACTGACGCCGTACAAGGACAAATCCGTTTCACGCGCTTTATATAGAAAACTTGCGGGCGATAAAAAGAGTATGAGAGAGAGAGAGAGAGAGAGAGA